AATAGCACAAATGCATTAAATAGTTAAAATCACACACTCTCTCCCCCCCCCCCTTCTTTCTTTCTATCTCTCTATTCTCTCTCCTAAAAAACTAATTTTCTTCTTTTTTTTTCTAGCTATTTGACAAATAAGGCCAATTTAGAAGGGCATGTTTTGATTTTTTGTTATTATTAGTAGATTAATGTTTCTAAATTTTTTTACCTAAAATAATAGCATAAGGGCATAACTAATCAGAAAAAAAATTGTTCGATTTTTTAATATAAACTTTTATTAACAAATATAGTTGACACTTAAGTAGAAATGGTTTAAGTGATTTTCATTTATTATATAATAATCAAAAGTAAGATATGATATAAGAAACTAATGCATTATATAGGAAAATAAAACTACCATTTCAATTCTATAAATTACTTTTGAAATATTTTATATAGTTTATAAATAATGAATTGATTGCTAGAAGTGATCTCATGAAGCATTATATATACCTTAGTTTTTACAGATCATAAATTAGTAGAATATATTGGGGGTGATTTGGATACTGCTACAAATTGGTTACAGAACTTATTTTAGCTCATCAAATAAATAAAATTGAAGATTTCTCAACCAATCAAATTATAACAATTTTTTAAAAAATCACAATATGATTGATTAAGCAAAAATCAATTAATTGATTTCTCATTCAGTATATATAGTAGGATTTTACAGGAAGAGTGTAAGATCAAGCTTTTTAATAATGAGCATTTATAATTATACTAGTTGCATATCCTCTGTGGAAGCCCGGAGACGGTATCATTGATGTTTGCCTATATTTTTTTCGGTTGTTGGTTTAATGGGTTCTTCTAATAATACCAAATATTGATGAAATGGAAAGATGTAGCAAGCGTGTAAAGTGAAAATATTGTATATATAATGTGTTACATGTTATTTATATGCAAAGTAAGGTTTATAAGAATAATTAAACTATAATATAGTTTATAGTGTGTAAAATAGGTGTCTATCTTATTTTTTATTTTTTATGCTATAAATAGTTTTCATATTGGAGGTCAAAACTTAATATAATTATTTATTTATAGTATTTATATTTGTACTAAACAATTTATCAATTTGAAAATAACTTTAATTTAAGCTAATATTTTTTGTTTGGGTTTCATTAGATAGGTTTGTATATGGTTTTTTGTAAGCTTGGATTTTGTTCATGAATAATCTGGCAATTTTATTTACGGCATCATCGACTGTGGGAATCCATTCGGCGGATTCTGATAAAAATGAAATTATAGTAACTATTAAAAATGAAAGAGATATTACATATTCACTTTATAAATAACAAAACTACTCAAACTTTGTTATTTTTAATTTTATCTTACATACATAATTTTTTGAAAATATATATTAGGAAATACTCCCTCCGTTCCTTAAAGATACATATTCTAGAAAAAAAATTTGTTCCTAAAAGATCCATTTTTTACATTTTCAATGCATGTTTTATTAACTAATTGTAAACTTCAAAAAACTTAATTGCACTTATTGATTTTTTATTGGTTTAAAATTATGGAAAAAAGATAAATACAAAAAACTATGCAAATTTATTGTGTTTTATTAAAAAGTGTGTAAAAACTAGAATATATATCTTTTAGGAACAGAGGGAGTATGTTCTAAAAGAAATATATATTAAGACATGAGACTCGTTTTTTTTTTTTTTTGCTGTTTGTTTTTTGATCCATTTTTAATTCTTTTTGGGTTTAACTTCGTTAAACTTTAGGATTTTTCCCACTATTTTGGGTTTTAAACAATAAGCCCAGAGGAAAGAAAATATAAAAAAATTAAAACCAAAAAACACATATGATAATAACGCAAACGAAAAAAACTAAAACACATAATAAATGCGTTGTTTGAACCCACACACTTACATACTTACTTAGATATCTTATACCAGTCGGCTAAAATGTATTCATTGTTCATAGTCATTTTAGAAAAATTATAGGCTTTTAAAAATTAAACGCGCGGGACCCAAAAAATGATGACGTGAACACATTGAGAAGCTTTGAAAGTGTACCATTATATATAAGATTGTTTTGGTTTCTTTCGTACACATTTTGTGAAACTAAATTGTTTATGGAAAATTCAATTTTTTATTACTCCTGTTATATGATTTTAAGTAATATATATATAAGGACATAGTTTTTGATAGGACACTGTATAATGTTAGCTGGTACTGTGGACAAGGTTATAACATGATGTTTGTTCTGTATTCAGAGCAAGAGAACGTAAGAGAGAAAAAAAATTCTGAGCTTTCAAGTAGCGACGAATAAATTATGACCACTGCCTAGACGTACCAGCATGGTTAAGATTTAGCTAAAAGAAGATGAACTCCAAAAGACTTACCCCAAAAATTCCGGAAAATTATCCTTTGATATATGCAAAACATTTTGAATTTATTCTTTAAAGAAAGTAATCTAGAGATAACAAATAAATAAGTATTGTTTAAATCGTCATTCTAACTATCTAAATAAAAATATTTAAATTTTTTCAGACATAATTCAGTTTTAGAAACTTACTATAATATGGTTTATAGTCTGACTAATCGCATCTATTTTACTAAAACATAAACATTAGAATGGACCTAACATTTATTTTGTAAGTTTTTAATTCAAATACATTTTCTACTTTATAGTTAAACATATAATAAATTATTAATATTTTTTCCTTTATACTACTATATATGTTTCCAATCAATATATTTATTTCTTTATATTCCTATATATGTTTCCAAACCATCTACTCTCTTTTTTATACTACTATCTATGTTTCCAAACAACACTATCATTAATCTTATGTCCAAACAATACAAAACATTAAATTTCAGTTTTTTTTTTCACAATTTTCTTTCAAATTATTATTTAGAGAAATTAAAAAAAAAACAAATAATATATAAAAACAATGAAAATAAATTTATTTTATAGGTTTAAATATTACAGTTATCTATCGGTTTAATTGGTTATTTTTGAATTTTAGTGATTTTTTTAAATATAGATATTTTGAAAAATCAAATTTGAATTATCGGATCACCGGTTTAATCACGGTCTGGGTTGAATTTTAAAATAATGATTTAAATGAAAAAAATATTTTAAATAGATAAAATCTTTCAAATTACCAAAATATTTTTGAAGTTATTTATGAAATTTTTATCATAAAATATATTTCCTTGCAAAGTTTAGACCAAAATTAAGTTGAATTTGACCTAACCTACAAAATAAAGGTTAAAGTCAAAAAAATTAGAAATTTGCATATTATTTTTAAAAATTTGGATAATTATTAACATCATAAGTAATTATTCTCAAGTTAATTTTTTAATGCAAACAGTTAATTTTGACTTTGATTTTGTACTTCGAACAAACATACTGAATTAGTGTTTTCACTTCACGATTACATCTACATAATACACAATTTAAAGGCATTAATACAAAAAAACAGCTTTGATATAATTCTTTTAAATATAAAATCGAATTGGACAAATTCAAAACGGTGTAAAATTAATTTATATAGAATACATCCAAACAATAAAATTCGCGCGGATGCGCGGATCATGATTTAGGTTTTTTTTGTTTTGAGATAAAGCTTACAGGTCATCGCATTTGTTGAGGGAGTGTAAGGACTGGAAGCAAGAAAAGGTCAAAAGACTTAGCTAGAGTAGATTAACTTTATTAAATTAAGAATCAATCATATATTAGAATAAATACTTCCGCTGGCCAAATCACTTGTTCCTTAAATTGAAAATCTCCTTTTAACCATATCTATAACAACTAAAATTGGCCAGCTACCAGTATACATCAATCCTCTGTCAAAATCTTCCTCAAATCACCCATTATATCTCCATAATCAGTTAAACAATATTTTAACCAAAAAACAATAAGCAATTATTCCAATTCCAAGCATGCTCCGACTTTCTGAATGAATACTCAGCACAATATCCGCCGAAATATTTTATACGAAAAGAATAATATTTGAGAAAATGATCATTTAAATCATGAACTTTTAAATTTGATTAAAGAATATGAATTTTCTTTTGGATTATTTAAAGTCTCTTTTTATCTTTATTAGCCATTTAAGACCTCAACTAATTTTGATTAAGCCAATTGGAGACGTCGTTATTTTGGTTAACAGAAAGATTAGCTGGGGCTAATTTTCGTTAAACATAAAACGATGTTGTTTCTAAAATTAAGAAAGCCCCAAATATTTTTTTCCCCAAATCAAAATCCTTAACCTAAATTCTCAAAACTATCAAAATCATACACTTTTTTTTAATGTCTCGATTTCAAGATGAATTCATCTTCAGAAATACAATATGAGAGAAAAAATCAAGGGTTTCTCTCTCTTATTATATTTCCCATGAGAGAAAGTGTCCGAATTTGATAGTTCTGAAAGTTAGGATTAGAGATTTCGATTTGGGGAAAAGGGATTTGGGGTTTTCTTAATTTTAGAAACGACGTTATTTTATGTTTAACAGAGATTCAAAATGGAGATCACCCTCGTCTAATCTTTTCATAACTGAATTAACGACGTCTCCAAATTGGCTTAGTCAAAATTAGTTGAGACCTTAAATAGCTAGTCAAAACAAATAGAAATTTTAAATGGTTCAGAGGAAAGTTCATGGTTCATGTTTTTTCTTAACTAAATTTGAAAATTCGTGATTTAAATTATTATTTTATAATATTTCCAAGTGTTTCAATTAAAATATTTTATACTAAAAGAATAATATTACCAAATTCACAAATTTTTAGTCAAAACTAAACGATTTGTTGGGTATTAATTAATAATGACACAATAAATAAAAATTTAACAAAAAATTTAGAAACACAAAATTGCTAAACAGAATCCACCATGGTTGTAGTCAGATATGTTATTCATAAGACAAATGCACTTAAAATTATTGTCCCTGGAATTATTTGTAATATTTTTCATAGTTTATCTATTATATTATCCAATGTTAAATTTTTTTGTTCAGAATTTGCAGAATAACATAAACTATAACACAGTTTATAAACACGAACCATATCGGGTGACAATTAAAAAAAATCAAGAAATTAACTTTTTCCATTTTCAAATACAAGAGCTTGAGAAAGATGTAAATGATCAAACTAATAACCTGCTGTAAACTCAAATAAACAAAACAATAAGAAACTAACAAGAAATCTCAACCTCTGTACAATGGAGACCTTTGTTGAAATATCATCTTCGATTGCCGGAAAACCTTACTCGGGCTCGGAAAGCTCCACCCTTTCCCTTTTCCCGTCGCCGGAGCTGGAGGGTATTCTGAATCTCCGACAATCGCAACGGATCTCGACTTCCTCATGATCGCCGGCTTCGTTTCTCCTCCTTTATTTCCCATCAACATCCTCCAAAACGACAACGTTTTCCTGCTCCGACCCCGACCCAGTTCAAAATCTGACCCGGAATCGACAACTGTATCCGGTTTAATCGGAACCGCCATCGATTTCGATCTCCGAAACATCGGTTCGCATTCAATCAAACTCGCCACTTGACTTACGGACCTGGTCCCGGAGAAACTAAAAGTAATATCTCCACCAAAGAGAGAGAACGAGGAGGACGACGAAGAAGACGACGGAGAGAAACAAACTGCGGCGCGTGAGCTACACGAACATGGGACATCGTTAGCACAGTCGGGGCATAGGGAAGAGAGTCTTTCGTGGAGGCAGAAAGGGCAAACGCCTACAAAACCGCGTTTTGAATAGTGTTTGGGACATTGCGAAAATCCATCTTCGCCCATCTTTTTTTTTTCCTTAAAATTTTTTTCTCGCGTTTTCTCTTCACTTTCTCAGAGTTGGAAGTGACAAGAAGGAAGAGCGCTTTTATAGAGCATTTACTCAGCGTTTTACCTACGGTTAAACTATTACGGCGTTTGGTCATTACACTTAACTCTTGTCATTGTTTAACTTCGAAGCGCCGAATCATTATGACATTATTGATTAATGATACGGCGCGTTTCAATATTGGTGTTTAATTACGTTTTCTGCCATCGTCATTGGAACCATTCAGTTCATTCACGTGCGGCATGATGACTTTGGATTATTAAATGAAACGAATTGAATTTCTTTTTCCAGTTCGAACAATAACTAAACTTCAAAAAATAAAAATTCAAAATCAAATTTGTTTTCAAAAATGGTTCGAACTCATTCGGTTTATATGCCAGAAAGTAACACTAGTTTTATAGATTTTAACCATGCTAAATATCTTCTTTATTAAAAGAGAAGTATCATTTATATCTACTATAAAAAAGTTATGTTGGACCATCTCATTAATATGACATATTTAATTATTTATATTAATCAATCAAATATATATAACTGGAGAAATATTTTAATAATTAATAAGATATTAGTAATAAGCTTTTTGAGAAAATATCTAACAAGATCTTATTAAGAAGTTTAAATATTTTTATAAAATATGCATTATTTAATTTTGTGATTAATATATATAAATATCTATATATATTAATGTTAATTAAAAATAAAATTTTTTATATTTTATAATTTAGTTATATTCTATATTATATTAAAATAAAATGCTATGTGAAATGAATATAAAATATATTAAATTCATAAAGGGAAATATTTTCTTTTAAAAAATTTCTTTTATTCAAATAAATAAATAAATATCACTCACTTTTAAAACATATTAAAGTTTTTAAATCATATAATATTTTTATTCAAAAAATGTTAACATATATTTTTGTAACTCAAAACAAATACATTATGTAAAAAATTATATGTGAGTATTTTTTTATTTTAAAACTTACAACAATATATTATATAAAAATAATTAAAATTATAAGATTATACAATTATACAATATATAACAATAGAATGTAAATCATATATATTTGAAAGGTTTTGTTATATTTTTATAAAATGAAAAATAACCACACGGATGTGCGGGTTCAAAATCTAGTACTCTATTAAAATAGAATCCTTATTTTTATCTACTGATGCAAGTTGTGTTATTTAAATTTAGATTATTTCTAAAATGTTACAAATAATATAAGTCATATAATTGATTGAAACGCATTATTTAAATAAACCGGTGGTTATTTATGAGATAGAATCCTAGGCTTACTTTTGTTTTTAAGATAAATTATAAGCTTTAGTGTTTGGGTTTAATATTAAGGAAAAACTCCAAAACACATTGAATAAACTTTCCACTATAATGGATCAAAAAATCAATTACTATTTTCAGGACCAAATATATTTAATATTTTTAAGAAAACAAAATTATCCATTATTAATTACTTATTTAAATCATGTATTTTAAAATATGTTAAAGTATTTTTTATTGTAAATAACAATTACTCTGTTTTGATAAATTTCAATGGTAACTTTTAAATAATTTATTTATTTTTCTTTTTTCTTAAAGAATTACCTGATTTAAAAAAAAAAAATTAAATGTAAAACAAAACCAAAAACCAAATCTAAAAAACTATAATCCAAAACCAAAAGCTGAAACGCATGTTATATTTTTGTTTTTGTTTATTTACAAAATAAAGTATTGCAATTTTTTTTAAAAATCAATATGACAAAAAATGTCATTTTTTCAGTTTTAAATTAGATGTTCGATTATTTGGGATTTGTTTGTTGATAATATCAGTTCAAACTAACTCAGCGGATCTAAAAACTAAAAACTCAAACCAAAAATCAAAAGAGAAACTTAAAAACTAAAAACCAAAAACCGAAATTTAAAATCAAATCTAAAAATAAAAACTAAAACTAAAAATTAATGCAAAAAAAATCAGCACCACAAATTTTGGATTACTAATTTTATACCAAAACATACTTTAAATAAAGACAAAACCCAATTATATAAATTTTTAACCATAAAAAATTTCTGCGCTTGGAAAGCGCGGATCAAAATCTAGTTGCTTTAATCTAAAGTCAAATATTCAAATTCATAAGTTTTAGATGTAGTTAATATTCTACATAACTCCATATGTTTCAATATAATACATATTCCAGATTTTTCACACATATTTATAAACATCTAATAAATATATAAAGTTTTGTGATTTTTTTTTTCATAACTTAAAACTAATACGAATCGAATGAGTACAATTAAGTTTCTTAAAGTTGAATTTTATCATTATTATTTGATAAAATTAGTACTGAAAATATAAAAAAATAAATCTTTTGAAACAAATTTCTTTTCTAGAATATGTAACTTAACGAAACAGAGTGAGTACTATATAATAAATTCAAGTTTTTTTCAATCTTAATTTATTTTGATAGAAAATATGATAAAAAATTTATTAAAATATAAAATAATAATATCTATAAAAATCGTAGATAAATATATGATTTAATATCTCAAACTCTAAGTTTTATTGGTAAAATCTTATTCCTTAAAGGTAGATGTGTGTGAGATTCAAATCTCTGTAGTTACAAAAGGATTTAGCAACTGATTCTTGTCCTTTCTCAAAGATATTATGGACTTCCATAACTTCTTGAATATACATATCAGTCTGTTTGTGAATTAATAATTACCGGATCTAAAATGGAAAATTATATGCTTCTCTACGAAAGTCCTAGCCACTAAACACTTTCCATATTTCATCTTCATCCTCATCACAACAGCTTTGCCAGAGCTTTCTTCAGCCATGGCATCGTCGGTGCCGACTCTCCAATCAACCCTCACAACTCTTACGCAAGGCCGGCTTAGGTGGGTGGGCAAGCAGAGCACTGGCCCAGGGCCCAACCTGAGATCAAATAATTTTAACAGTATAAAGGGTTCCAGATTTTTTTTTTTTTTGATAACAAGGGACCTAATTTTTTTTTTTTTACTTTAAATGTTATAATTACACAATATTAACAAACATAACAGTATAATTTTTTTATATTTATAAAATACAAAAGAATAAAATAAATTTAGACAAGTTTTTATATATGTTAAAATAATATTTTGATAACAAAATTAAAATTAATTAGTAATAGGGGCCTAAAATTTTTTTTGCCCAAGGGCCCTCTATTTTGTTAAGCCGGTCCTGCTCTTACGTCTGATCCAACCCGGGGTTTGCTTAAGAAATCCCTTAAAATTGTATGAACCCGAACTTTGCTTAAGAAATCCCTTAAAATTATATGGGGAAATCTTCCAAAAGAGAATTCAAATCTAAATGATTTTTTTGTTTCCTTGGTAACAATGCTCAGTGGAGTAACTTTGACTACTTTACCAGAAGAAATGGTTAAACTTTCACAGCCGTTATGGTTTAACTATATTGTGGGTTACTTTAGTGATGATGCACCACATATTGGAAAGATTCATGCCATTGTTGATATGTTATAGGCGCCAAACAAGAAACAAAGATTGACGCTTAGTTTTTATCTGAAACGTTTCTATTTTGGATTGAATATTCTAATATGAAGGCGAGAATCACCCGTCAACATTCTTGGCGTATCTTTGATGTACCATTGGTGATACAAGAATGGAGACTAAAATTAGTATACATGATGCGTGTTCTTACAACAATACATGTATAGGTGGACTGCAAAGATGTACCAGATTACTTGTTCTCTGAAAAGAGATGTATCTAGGAGGTATAGTTGGTGCAACTCAAAAACTCCATCCTAAATCAGAGAGATATTTGGTTGGATGTTGCTGATATGCTCAAATTAACCTTTAAGCTACTCTCTCAAATAAGAGGTTCACTACAAGAAAACACGTCCTTTACTAGGACGGGTTTTCCTCGTTATTTCCTAGTAAATGGCCCTTTACTAGGAAATAGCGAGGAAACGTGTTTCGTCGAAAGACGTTCATCGTAAAGGCTATTTTCCTCGTAAAAGCCTAGCTACTTTACGAGGAAAGATTTCCTCGTAAAGCCGTGGAAAAGTTTTCCTCGTAAGCTCCACGTACACTTTCCTCGTAAGAGCATAGTAAACAGTTTCTTCGTAAACTCGTAGTAGACTCTTTACGAGGAACTTGCTAGGAACGTTTACGACGAATTTACTTCGAAACTTTTACGAGGATTTTACTTCGAAACAGTTTTTTCCTATTTAAAAAAATATTTATAAATTAAAATTATATATATTAAAAAAATTAAAAAAATAAAAAAATAAATATTTATAAATAACTAAATAATATACAATTAATAAGTTTTAAAATTCATAATATACAATTAAAAATTAAAAAAAAACTAAAAATGATGCTGGTCTTGATCAAATTGGTTCACGAAGTCGTCTCCAGGGTCGTTGGATGCCGGCTGTGACTGAGATGGTGGAGGCTCTTGGGATGGAAGGGTTCCGCTTTCCCGTCTCTGACGCAACACTTCCGCCAGTTGCGGGTTTGTTAGCGCCACAACGTCGAGGATACCCATGAGCGTACGCACATGAGACTGCGTCGCCTGCAACTCCGTCTACGTCGTCTGCAACTCCGTCCGTAGATGCGCATTGTCATCGGCTTGTTGGTGAACATAAGCCGATGTCGCTGCGGGGACATCGTTAACCGAGCCAATCCCGATAACACGGTCCTTTTTCCTCGGAACGACCTGTAAATTAAAATATTAATAACCGAAGCAATAAAATTAAATAAATAATAAAAATTAATATATTAAAATTATTTACCTCCTCGTAAATCTTATCCACTTCAAGAGTGGATAATACGACCGGAGCCCCAGTCTGCTGAGTCAACTGGGTCTGGCGCTCGTCAAC